TTCACCATACTAGTACTAATAGCTGGGGCCCATTCACCATACTAGTACTCAATAGCTGGCCCATTCACCATACTAGTACTAATAGTCAGGCCATTCACCATACTAGTACTAATAGCGCATTCACCATACTAGTACTAATAGCTGGGGCCCATTCACCATACTAGTACTAATAGCTGGGGCCCATTCACCATACTAGTACTAATAGCTAGGCCATTCCACCATACTAGTACTAATAGTAGCCCATTCCACCATACTAGTACTAATAGCTGGGCCCCATTCCACCATACTAGTACTAATAGCCATCATTCACCATACTAGTACTAATAGCTGGGCCCATTCCACCATACTAGTACTACTAGCTGGGGCCCATTCCACCATACTAGTATCTAATAGTGGGCCCATTCACCATACTAGTACTAATAGCTGGGGCCCATTCCACCATACTAGTACTAATAGCTGGGCCATTCCACCATACTAGTACTAATAGTGAGTCCATTCCACCATACTAGTCACTAATAGCTGGGGCCCATTCCACCATACTAGTACTAATAGCTGGGGCCCATTCACCATACTAGTACTAATAGCTGGGGCCCATTCACCATACTAGTACTGGCTAGCTGGGGCCCATTCCACCATACTATACTAATAGCTGGGGCCCATTCACCATACTAGTACTAATAGCTGGGGCCCATTCACCATACTAGTACTAATAGCTGGGCCCATTCACCACTAGTACTAATAGCTGGGGCCCATTCACCATACTAGTACTAATAGCTGGGGCCCATTCACCATACTAGCTAATTAGCTGGGGCCCATTCCACCATACTAGTACTAATAGCTGGGGCCCATTCACCATACTAGTACTAATAGCTGGGGCCATTCACCCATACTAGTACTAATAGCTGGGGCCCATTCACCATACTATATTATTAGCTGGCCCATTCACCATACTAGTACTAATAGCTGGGCCATTCCACCATACTAGTACTAATAGCTGGGGCCCATTCCACCATACTAGTACTAATAGGCGCCCATTCCACCATATACTAGTACTAATAGCTGGGGCCCATTCACCATACTAGTACTAATAGCTGGGGCCCATTCACCATACTAGTACTAATAGCTGGGGCCCATTCACCATACTAGTACTAATAGCTGGGGCCCATTCCACCATACTAGTACTAATAGCTGGGGCCCATTCCACCATACTAGTACTAATAGCTGGGGCCCATTCCACCATACTATACTAATAGCTGGGCCCATTCCACCATACTAGTACTAATAGCTGGGGCCCATTCACCATACTAGTACTAATAGCTGGCCCATTCACCATACTAGTACTAATAGCTGGGGCCCATTCCACCATACTAGTACTAATAGCTGGGGCCATTCCACCATACTAGTACTATTAGCTGGAGCCATTCACCATACTAGTACTAATAGTCTGCCCATTCCACCATACTAGTACTAATAGCTGGGGCCCATTCACCATACTAGTACTAATAGCTGGCCCATTCTCATACTAGTACTAATAGCTGGGGCCCATTCCACCATACTAGTACTAATAGCTGGCATTCACCATACTAGTACTAATAGCTGAGCCATTCCACCATACTAGTACTAATAGCTGGGCCCATTCCACCATACTAGTACTAATAGCTTCACCATATAATATAGCCAGGCCATTCCATACTAGTACTAATAGCTGGGCCCATTCCACCATACTAGTACTAATAGCTGGGGCCCATTCCACCATACTAGTACTAATAGCTGGGGCCCATTCCACCATACTAGTACTAATAGCTGGGGCCCATTCCACCATAATACTAGTACTAATAGGCCCATTCACCATACTAGTACTAATAGCTGGGGCCATTCCACCATACTAGTACTAATAGCTGGGGCCCATTCCACCATACTAGTACTAATAGCTGGGGCCCATTCACCATACTAGTACTAATAGCTGGGGCCCATTCCACCATACTAGTACTAATAGCTGGGGCCCATTCCACCATACTAGTACTAATAGCTGGGGCCCATTCCACCATACTAGTACTAATAGCAGCCCATTCCACCATACTAGTACTAATAGCTGGGGCCCATTTCAGAGTTTACAGTTGTTTATGAAGCACAACGGACCTATTAAATTTCCCTAACATGTTACCTGTGCTTTCCATCATTAGACTATATTATTATTTTTTTGTTAATTAATAGAGAAAAATAGAATGATGATAGAAACTAAGATAGAAAAATTAACAGACTTAAGATAGAATAATGATTTTAATTATACTGTATAGTGTTTTGATTATCACTTTCTAGCAATAGAATGTTTAACTAATGAATAGATATAATAGTAATTTATCTTTTAATAGGGGTTAATGAAGCATATCATATAACATTTATATAAGAAAATCCCACTAATGTTTGACAATAGACGAAAACAGACGATATTTTTCTGTGCTGAGACGAGATTCACACGAAAAATATTTTGAGATTTGTC